CTGTTAAACAGAGACTGTTTTGTGTGGACTGTAGAAGTCTCAGTGATTTTTCAAGTATATGAATTTGACATGTATTGAGGGGGAAAGTGCCTTTCCAATCCTCTGCTCCCGGGATGGTTCTTCCAGGTTGTCCTGATCCACAGCCTGGAAATAAAGCTGCCTGTTCAATGTTGAACAGAGCAGTGACACTCTTTCCCACAGCTCCAGCATGCCCTGTCTTATTTCCTTTCTAATTTAGTAGAGACCATGAACACACACTGGGCAAACTCATAGCTTCCCGCAGATCTGAAGCCATCGCGGAGGGACATGGAAGGGAGAGGCAGGCAGTGCCCCTCCATCCTCAACATCTGAGATTGAGCCCCAAGCCCAGCCTTGGCCAGCAACAGCAATACCCAAAACAATGCCAGGGCCATGTACTCTACCAAGCACTTTCTACTTATCCTGTGGGACACAGAACAATCCCATGAGTTGTGTGTGTGTTTATCCTCACTTTGCAAGACGAGGAAAAAAAGACAATTGACTTTTCTGAAATCACACAGCCAGAAACCAGCAGAATCAGGTCTTTGCCCCACGTCCACCCACCGTCAGCACCTTGCCTGGCCCAGGTGGTGTCATGAGCCATCTGACTAGCCCAGTCACAATATACAGATTCCCATCAGCTCTGGCACTTCTTGATCACAATACAGTTGGCCCTGTATTGATCACAATACAACTGATCACAATACAACTGGCCTTTCACCTCTCCTCTGGGAAGGCAACTTTGAAAGGCTGGGTGCCAGCAGCGGAGGGCCAGCTGGGCTGCTGGCAGTGTAGCCTGGTGGTTTGGAGCCGCAGAACACTTACCCTATGGCCAGAAACCTCCTGGTCCTGAGTCCCATCTCTTCGTCTTTCAATCTAAGTGATGGCGGGCAGCTCACAGGAACTCTTGTTTCAGCTTTCCTCATCTGTAAGAGGGGATAACAACGGTCCTGCCTGGAGCTGCTTTGTGAGGATTAAAGGAGCCTGACCAGCTGAAGCTGCCAGCAGCACCAGGCCTAGCCCATAGCTCGTGCTCAGGTCATGCTAAGCTCGTGCTGCTACATGAAGGTAGTCAGGGAGCCGCTGGACATACATTTTGGGGGCCCCTCCTGGCCTCACTCTCTCCAGTCTGCATGGTCCCTTGCCTGCAGGGAGGCCCAGAGAGGGGGCTTATGCTGTCGACAGAAAGGGAAGTTCACATGGCAACTCGGTCCTACTCTTCTTGTCTTTTCATAAATCACACACGCATAGTCACGGTCAAAAAATTATTATAATTCTAAAAACTCTATAAAAGCACTTTTTAAAATTAAGGTAACTGCCAAATCTCACCACCCAGAAGCAATCACTGTTAATATTTAGTGTGTAATTTATAGAGCAGGTGGCTTGCATATCTGTTTGGTGAGTCCATTTTTTCTTGAATTTTGAAATCTCTTTGTCTTCAGGCAGGGCACACTCTTCGGCCACTGCTCCCATGGCCCCTGCAGTCTTACAGTGGACAGCTCTCTGCATTTCTGTAACTTGGGTCACAAGATGTTCTGGATGACATCCTTGAATGGCCGTCCAGACATTGACCTATAAATAATAGATTGGATATTGTAATTTACAAAAAATGGCCTCATGCCATGAGCATTGCCCCCAAATAATTTTGTCATTGGCAATTATGAATATGCTTCCATATCAATGGATCTATATGGGCAAGCCCTCGTGGTGTTTGTTCAGTGTTCTGTGGTTTAGACATACCATCACAAATTCCCCTCTTCTCTTACTGCTGACCCTCAAGATCATTGTCCGTGTTTTGCTACGAACCATGTAGCCTTGCTCTTTAAAGCATCCCAAGCATTGCCCATATCTCCTCCATGATCCCCTTAGAGTGGTCTCAGGTGGTGTCCTTTACAGCAAGCTTCAAGGACATAACCCTTTCTCCCTCCCTCTCTGTCTGTCCCTCTCCCTCCCTCCCTCTCTCCTTCTCCCTATCCCTCCCTTCCTTTCCCTTTCCCTCTCTCCCTCTCCCTCCTTTCCTCTTTCCCTCTCCCTCTCCCTCCCTCCCTCTCCCTCTCTCTCTTCCTCTTCCTCTGTCTCCCTCCCTCTCTCCCTCTCCCTCTGTTCCTCTCTCCCTCTCTCTCTCCTTCCCTTCTTCTCTCTCCCTCTCTCTCTCTCCCTCTCCCTCTCCCTCCATCCCTCTCTCCCTCTCCCTCCATCCCTCTCCCTCCGTCCCTCTCTCCCTCTCCTGCTCCCTCTATCCCTCTCTGCCTTTCCCCCTTCCTTCCTCCCTCTCTGCCTTTCCCCCTTCCTTCCTCCCTCTCTGTCTCTCCCTCTCCCTCCCTCCCTCTTTGCCTCTCCCTCTCTCTCCCTCCCTCTCTAACTCTCCCTCTCCCTCCCTCTGTCTCTCTGCTCTCCCTCTCCCTCAGTCTCTCTCTCCCTCCCTCTCTCTCTTCCTCTCCCTCTCCTTCCCTCGCTCTCTGCCTCTCCCTCTTCCTCTGCCTTTCTGTCTCTCCCTCTCCCTCAGTCTCTCCTTCCCTCCCTCTCCCACTTGTTCTGCCTCTCCCTCTCCCTCCCTCTCTCTGCCTCTCTCTGTCCCTCCCTCTCTCTCCCTCCCTATCTCCTTCTCCCCTTCCTCTCTGCCCTCCCTCTTCCTCCCCCTTTCTTCCTCTCCCTCCCCTCCCTCTCTGCCTCTGCTTCTCCCTCTGTCCCTCTTTATTATTCCTTCTTTCTCTTTCCCTTTCCTCCTCCTCTAAACACCAGGGCCTCAGCTCACTTTCCTCTCCTTTACATGTTGCCACCCCCATGCTTAGCTCAGGGCCCCATTCCCACCAGCTGCCTGCAGA